GGGAATTAGTACTTATGTCTCTAAAGTCATTTTATCTCAAATGGCTAATTTAAAAATTAGATTTCTAATTTGCCTTAGCAAGTGCTTTTTTAAAAGGAGTTTTTGAGTCTTTTTTCCCTCAGAGTGATCTGTTAAAAAGTTCTGCTTCCAGTGTTTTAAATACGTTATATCAGTTCATTTGGGTAAGAAAAATTAATTTCTTCAGCGTACACATAGTATTTGGCAGCTTTTGAAGAATCTTACCCTCAGAAATTCTGTCTCTTCCTCCCTCCCTCTCTCCCTTTTACTCTCTTTCTCTGTCAATATATACATTCACATACATCATGCATACATACATACATACTTTTAGATGATTATAATTTGAATCTATTGTAAGAGCTAACATTTTTATTGAACATAATTTTGTGCTAGGTGCTGTGTTAGGCACAATGAAATGGATGATCTCATTTAATTCTCATAATAGTCTTATGAGGTTGGGATTGTCATTGTAGGAACAAGTAATTGATAATAAAACCTGCCTTAGAGGGTTGTTGAGATAATTTATTGAGGGAATAAGTACAAAGTGCCTGACACAGTAGACACATAACAATGGTGGATCCTGCTGTTTTTATTAATCAAAGCAAAGCATGCAAAATAGTATTTATTCCTATCCTTCCTACTCCTGATTCTGTTCCTAAGAGACACCACTTTCAACTTTTGTTTCTTTTGGTATTACATTTCTAAATAAGTGTATTACCTGTTTCTTGACTTTTCATTTTAAATATAATTTTTAAATTAAAAAAATTTTTTTCTTTATTGATTTTAGAGAGCGAGGTAGAAATAGAAACATCTGTGAGAGAGAACATCGATCATCCATCGGCCACATCCTGCATGCCCCCAAATGGGTATTTGGCTCATAGCCTGGGCATGCACCCCAACTGGGAATCGAACCGGCATCCTCTTGGTGCCTGGGTCAATGCTCAACCACTGAGCCACAATGGCCAGGCTATCATTTTTTAACTTTTTAAGGATGATACTTAGTTCTCATACCACTACCATTTTCACCCACCTACCACCCAAGAAGCACATTTTTCCCTCCTCTATCCTTGCAGTGTAGTTATAGTGTTCTTTTTCGTTAAATCAGTATTTTGTCCTTGTTAGATAATGTAAATGTTATTTACAACTAAGCCATGTGGTATACCAGTTACATTTTTTTTATTTTGCAACTTTATGTCCCCTGCCCCAGTTATCACATTTTTTAAATTATATTTTTTCTTTTTTCTAATTGGCAAGATAAATGTATTTTGACTTCCATTAAGAAGAAGGCTGTATTGCACCTGGCCGGTGTGGTTCACTGGATTGAGCGTTGTCCTGTGGACTGAGAAGTCCCGCTTCAATTCCTGGCCAGGGCACAGGCCCGGGTTGCGGGCTGATCCCCAGTGGGAGGTGTGCAGGAGGCGGCTGATCAATGTTTCTCTCTCACATCAGTGTTTCTATCTCTCTCCCTTCCTCTCTCTATAAAAAACAAACAATAAAAACGTATTTTAAAAAAAGAAGACGGCTGTATTGTAAAGGTACTGAGGTTCCTCCAAGACTTCAGGAAAGAGCTGGGCAGCCAGGGCGTTGGGGAGCCTGCAGCCCTCGCCTGGCTTGCTCCTGGCCTCCCTCTACTCCCCACACCTTTGTTGTTTTCTGTGTGCCCATCACTAATTCCTACCTAAGCAAAGTACATTCTTCAGGGATTTTGTCAGTTTCCTTTATTTTCTTGGAGTCATCTTTCTTCCTCTTGTTTCATAATGGATTGGTTGTTCTCTCAGCCTATTGCTTAGTTGTCTTTTTTTAAAAATCCTCACCAGAGGATATTTTCCATTGATTTTTTTATAGAGAGAGGGAGGGAGGGAGGGAGGGAGGGGAAGAGAGAGGGATAGATATTGATAGGAGAGAGACACATCGATTGGCTGCCTCCCGCATGACCCCGATGGGGCTGGGGATTAAACCCACAGCCGAAGTACGTGCCCTTCACCAGGAATCAAACCCAGGACCCTCCAGTCCATGGGCTGAGGCTCTGACCCCTGCTCCAGACCAGCCAGGGCCATAGTTGTCATTCTGAGTATTTCCTTCACAGCTCTCCTTTGGATTTCCTGTTTCATGAATCTTCCTGAGAAAAGGTGTACATACTTGGAAATGTCTGTATTTCATCCCTTACACTAGATTGATAGTTTGGTTCGATACTGAGTTCTAGGTTGGGAATCATTTCCCTTAGAGTTTTAAAGCATTGCTCTGTTGTCTTTTCTGGCTTCCAGTGTTGCTACTGAGAGTCTAGTGCCAGTGCTGACCGCCTGGGCTTTGAGCTGATCTTTATTTCCTCTGCACTTCTTGGGCTCTGTGTGTCCCTGCGTCCTGGATTTTCAGAACGATGCGCCTGGCTGCTGATCTGTTGCTCATTGTGCAGGGCACTCAGTGGGCCCTTCCCTCCGGCAGTCCATGTTCTTCAGTCCTGGGAACATGAATTATGTCTTTGATTTCCCCCCTCTCTCTATTTTCTGTTCTTCCTTTTTAGAACATATCTTTATGATTTGTGTTTGTATGTGTGTATTAATTTTCTTATCTGTTCCTACCCATTTTTCTATTTGTTTTTGTTCTACCTTCTGTGACGTGCCTTCAGCTTTATCTTGCAATGTTTATTTTTAAATTTCTATTATCATATTGCTTATATCTAAGAGTCTGCTTTTTTTTTATCCTCACTAGAGGACTTTTTACATTTACCTTCAGATAAAGCGGGAGGGAGAGAGGGAGGAAGAGGAAGAGAGAAACATCGATGTGAGAGAGACATCAACTGGCTGCCACCCACACAACCCCAACCAGAGACCGGGGACAAACTGCAACCAAGTTACGTGCCCTTAGTGGGAGCCGAACCCAGGACTCTCTGGTCCACAGGCCGACGCTCTAACCGCTGAGCCAAACTGGCCAGGGCTATTCTTTTCTAATAAATGCAGTATTTTCTGTCAGCTAAGCCAGTTACCACATATAGGTTCCAAACAATTAGACAGTACAAGGTGGGCTATGACTAGATGTTGAAATGTTTGGTGCCAATGCTAAGTACAGTAGAATAGGAGAGTCTAGAGAAATCACTGTCTGCCAGAAAAGCTTGGGACCACTTCATGTTGAAGGTAGAGTAGGATCTGGACCTGGAATGGAAGTGACTTTGGGTGGGTGAGGAATGGCAATGTCGAGTGGTTAAAAAAGTGTTGACATTGGAACAGGCCCAGCTGAGTCACTGGGAAAACCTGTGAAGGTCCAACCTCTCTGAGCCTCCGTTTTCTCGTCTTTAATGGGACTAATAATATCTACCTTCTAGGGTTGCTTTAAAGAGAGAAGTTGTATATATATATATGTGTGTGTGTGTGTGTGTGTGTGTGTGTGTGTGTGTGTGTATAGTGTATGGTATATAATTGGGATTTAATGAACATTTTTTATTCTATAAGTTTCTTAAGGCCAGAAAAATAATCTTCTCTAGCAACACTTCCTAGCACAGTGCTTGCTACACAGTGGGATCTTACTGTAGATAATGAATAAATGAGTGAGTGAGGGAATAAATGAATTGAGGAAAGGAGAGCATTCCAGGCAGGGGAAATAACAGAAATAGTGGCCAGGAAGTTGGAAATAAGCATGTTGCATGGGAAAGGACTGTTGGGATCTTGGCCTGACTGAAAAGGTTTATATAGAGACAAGTGTTCATGGAAATATGTCTGAAAGCTGAGTCAGTACTTCTTGGAGGGGTTAGGAGGAAAGATGTCAAGAGGTAGTATGGGCCAGTGTAAGGCACTTAAATTAATGACCAAATCAGGGTTAGAAAGCTTCTGTCTCAGTTAGAGAAACAGCTAATTTCAGTTTTCAACATGAACATTTGGGAAAGGGATTTAAGCTCCTTGATTGGCTGGGAAAATGATTCCTGCTGTTTATCCTGGAAGGTGGTAATAATAATGATAAAATGAGCCAATAGATGTAAGTATGCCTTGTAAGTTTGTGGCCGAGTTTCATTGGCTCAGAAAGCAGGTAGAAAAACAGGAACTCTTGTTTATCCACATGGCTATAAAACCAATACAGCTTTAATCCTCTAGAAGCAAAAAAACTAATAAACAATACTAAATAGTGGGGTATGTTTCACCAGAAATACTTTTTCCCTTGCCCCTTTTCTTAATTTGATTGTATATAATTTTCCCGATGCCTATACTTATGCTGTCTAATCCAGTAGCCACTAGCCACATGAGGCTATTTAATTAAACAAAATTTAAAATTCAGTACCTCAGTCACACTAGCTACATGAGTGTTCATTGGCCAAGTGGGCTGGTGGCTGCCATTCTGTCATCACAGGAAGTTCTGTTGGAGAGTGCTGGACTAAACTAGACAGAACTTCAGTATGTATGTTTATTTTCTTAAATAGTACAATTAGTATTATAAGTACAGTCGTCCCTCGTTTATCGCAGTTAATCCATTCCAGACTCGAGCGGTTGCACCTGGCGGTGAAGGATTCCCGGGGTGTTCGAGTACAGAGGCCTACAGTCCATTCGTACAGTAATTGTAATACAGGGGTATATAATGGACTCAACCAAGTGCGCGCTGTATCGTTTTCACTGGCTCGATCAACTTTTTAATAAATATATTTGAAAAAACTTAGATAGAGTGAAGCTGCGAAAGTCGAAGCGCGAAGTGGCGATAGATGACTGTATTTATTTTATCTTCTCTGGCTTTAAATTATGAAGCAAATAAGTGAAGCTTGTTTCTTTAAAAACGTGAAGCTGTTTTTCACTTACGTGAGCCTTAGTTGATTGGTCTCTTACATCAGTGGCTTTTTATTGAGATCAAGTTCCCCAACCTGACTGAAGTTAATGGATTTTCTTAATTAGAGAAGTAACAGGATGTAGAAGATTGAATGATTTCAAAGAGCTTCTAGCCTAATTGAAAATGTAATTGATTGTGTTTTGCCAGATGTCATTTCAAGAATGTCTTTTTCTTTTAAGATGCTAAAGAAAACCCTTATGGTGAGGATGACAATAAGAGCCCATTCCCCCTGCAGCCCAAAAACAAACGCAGTTATGCTCAGAATGTGACTGTCTGGATCAAACCCAGCGGCCTGCAGGTAACATTACCCTTCACGTTGCTTTCCACTGGGGACAGGAGAGGTATTCTGGCAGGCAGGCAGACATTTGCTTTGATTTTCCTTTCCTTTGATACTTAGTAATTCATTTACTTGTAATGTTTGTCATTATTTCCAAAAGGGATTTGAGGTGGCCTACAGTAAAAAACATATACAGCAAAATAAATGTTTACAAAATTTAGAGCAATACAAAACTGAGAGGAAGAAGGGAGACAATTATGCCAGGAACCCAGGGCAAAATAATTATATTTGAGCAGTTTTGCTCTAAGCTTCCTGCTACCAAGGTCAAAAAAGAAACATGTAGGGTTTTATGTTGTATGGGTTATGTCTGATCAAAGGAAGCATGCCAGTTCTCTGTCTAGAGACATTTTTTCTGGCTTTGAATTTTAATGTGAAATTTTGGAAATTCGGAGGCATTGACTAATACAATGGATGTTATCTTTAACAACAATTTTGAGAAAGATGTAAAAATCTTTATGTGGTTATTTCTTCCATCCCCACAGTAGAGCCCGAACCGTAGCATTACACTGTGATTCCACAAACACACTTTAATGGGAAGCCGAGAGTACTCTTACCAAGGTATGCCACGTTCAGGCTAGGTACTGAGTGACATTTCTTCTTGCATTGACATCAAGTCCTTTATATCTTCTTTTTAAAAATCACTTTTGAGCCTTTTTCTCGAGTGCCATTTTTTTTTCTTTGTTCCTCCAATGAGTCCAACTTAAACCAGATGAGAAGAGGCAGTCAGAAGTAGCTTCTGTTGATGGCATAGTACTCCTTTTCTTTTTCTTTAAAAAAAAATTTTTTTACTGATTTTTAGAGAATTAGGGAGAGAGAGAGAGAGACATCAGTGAGAGGGAAACATCGATTGGTTGCCTCCTACATGCCCCCCACTGGATATTGAGCCTACAACCCAGGCATGTGTCCTGATCAGGAATCAAGCTGGTGACCTCTTGGTGCATGGGTCGACGCTCAACCACTGAGCCGCACCAGTTGGGAGGCATAGTCCCCCTTTTCGTGGAGACTGGACACATCCTGCCATGGCTAAGGTGGGAGGCGTGTAGTTCTGGGGAAAACCTAATTTTCCAACAAAGAGAAAATCAGGTTCTTCCCAGAACTTCCCTATTAGAAGGGTAGCTGAGTTTTCTTTTTCTAATTTTTCTAAAATTATTTTTAAAATTTTATTTTAGACTGGGTGTATTTTTTTTATTATAGTGAAATACACATATAACGTTTACCATTTCAACCATCTTTAAATATACATTTCAGTGGCATTTAGTATAATCACAATGTTATACAACCATCACCACTATCTAGTTCCAGAATGTTTTATCACCCCAAAAGAAAACCCTTTACCTATTAAGCAAGTCACTCTATATTGCCATCTTCCCCCAGCCCTTGGCAACCACTCATCTGCCTTCTGTCTATATGGATTTGCCTGTTTTAGATATTTTATATAAATGGCATCATGGCCTTTTTGGTTTGGCTTCCTTCCACTAAGCACAATGTCAGTGTTCATTCATGTTGTAGCGTATCTCAGTACTTCATTCCTTTTGGTATAACTATGCCACATTTTGTTTATCCATTCATTCAGTTGATGAGCATTTGGATTGTTTCTACCTGTTTGCTATTCTGAGTCATGCTGCTTTGAACATTCACCAAATTAATTTTCTCCTTTTGTTGCTGTACTGTTGTAACTAAGAAATCATGGCCAAATCCAAGATCATGAAGATTTGCCCCTATTTTTCTTAAGAGTTTCAGCTCTTGCATTTAGGTCTCTGGTCCATTTTGATTTATTTTTTTGTATATGATGTGAAGTAAGAGTCCAACTTCATTCTCTTCTGTGTGGCTATCCGGCTGCCCTAGTACCATTTATAGAAGAAACTATTCTTACCCATTGAATGGTCTTAGCACCCTTGTCAAAAAAGTAGGTGGAGAGAGAGAGATGATTACAGGGTGTGTTTTTGTGAGATACGTTCATTTTTGTCACCAAGAGATTTATTGTCAAGCACTTTGAAGGACGGAGATGTTGTACTAATGTTGAACAGAACAGTGACGTTAACTTAGAAGGGATCCTCATTTTGACACTGTAGCTCTGTTTGTATTTTCAGGTCTTTAAACATTAGAGCCACCCTTTTTTATTCTTTCCCCTTCACCACAGAATTCTAATGTTGAATTCTTTTTACCCTTGATAGACAGATGTACAGAAGATTTTAAGAAATGCAAGGAAACTACCTGAAAAAACACAGACATTCTACAAGGTGAGGCTATCAGAATTAGTGGCAGAGGCTGGGCCCTGGGATGTGCCAAAAGTAAATGGTTCACCACAGTTCGTGTGGTAGTGGAGTGAACACGGACAGGGATTAGAAATGTACAGCTCGTGCCTCATTTTTTCATCAGTAAAGTCAATAGAAGTGATAGGTCCAGTTTTGCCCTAAATTCCAAGAATCAGAAATGCTTCAATGACCTGGTTCTGTGCAGAAGGGCTTCTCTGAGTTGGTGCTGCTGGGACTGGCTGAGGGAAGGAGCTGAAAGGATCTTAACCCTCACAGCCCTTAACCCTTCTCACCGTTCCCATGTGGGTATCCAGCCTATGCCCCGGCGGCCATTGTATGTGACTTCCTGGGATGCTGATCACCGAGAACATTCTCACTGTATCAGAAAAGCTGCTTCTAGGAATCACCTAGCTAATCCAGAACCACTGATGGAGGGAATAAGGTTACAAGGGGTGAGGTAGAGTGTGGGGCATGTAAGCCCATTCATTTCTCCCACCCTTCTGGTGTCAGGCTAAAATCAGATGAAGCGGCAGAGAGAGGTATGCTGTGTTGTCAGTTGTACCCTCACTTGCTAATCTTAAAATATGGACACACAGCCAGCCCCAGGCTAGCATTTCCTCCAGAGAACATGCGTGCTTTGTCTGGGTGTTATTTCATTACCTTCATGTCACTAGTGTCTTCAAACGTAACTTTGTAGAGAGTTGGTGAAATCAAGCAAGAGCAGCCTAAATCGGAGTTCAACCAGGGAGCCGAGCAGCCTGCCATGCCCCGACTGAAGCCCAGAATCACACAGGCCCTTGATGACCATTCTTTGGCTGTAGTCCTTCTCCCTGCAGAGCTTTCTACACACAATCATCAGCTGTCTATTCAAGATGACACACTTGTACTTTGGCCTTTTGAACTTTTCTCTTGTTTAACACAAGATAGAGAAGTGGTCAGAAAGCCCGTTTCTCTTTTCTGGTTTATATAATCCCACGTATCAGCTGGAAAGGGCCTCTACCAGGTGACTGCACCAGCCCCTGCAGAGGGCAGAGGCGAGGTTAGCCTTCTCTTTTTTTGTTTTTGTGTGAGGATATTTTTCCATTGATTTTTTAGACAGAGTGGAAAGGAGGGAGGGTGAGAGAGGAACATCGATGTGAGAGAGACACATCAGTTGGTTGCCTCCCACACGACCCTGACCAGGGCCGGGGATCGAACCCGAGACCCTTCAGTCTGTAGGCCCAATGCTCGCTCTAGCCAGTGAGCCAAACTGGTCAGGGCATATCCTTCCCATTTTGTAAATGAGGCCATTGAGACCCAGAGAGGCTACACATCTTGCCCAAACCATGCTGCCAAGTCTTTGATGGGACAGTTTCTCTATTTCCATTCACTACTCCACCTTTTAAGGTTTTTTTTTTATTGATTTTTGGAGAGAGAAACATTGATATAAGAAATATTGACTGGCTGCCTCCTGCACACCCCCCACCGGGGATCAAGCCCGAAACCCAGGCATGTGTCCTGACCAGGTACACAGGTCAACGCCCAACAGAGCCACACCGCCATGGCCCACCCTTCTTCTTGTGTCAGTCTTTGGAGCCGTGAGAAGCCCGAGAGCCCTCTGAGGTTTGGGACAAGCCTTTTTCTATACCTGAGTAACAGGAAAAATAACCCTCCTTAGAGTTCTGAGTAAATGAAATGATGTGTGCAAAGTGCCTCATGACGTTTGCATAAGTGCTACTTAACTGTGGTGATGATGACTTGTACTTCAGTCAGTGTCCTCCTTACCCAGCTTTCTGATCACCTGTAGAGGAACCGCTTCTCAGTCATGTCATCGCACTCTCATTATAGGCATCTCTGTAGAAGCATTTGTTCTTATATAAAAATGCTGTTAAGTTCGGGAGAAGTTATTCTAAGCTGAGCACTTAGAAATTCTGTGTGTGATAACTCCAGACACAGGACTGGCTGGTCAGGTAGAGTCGACAGGGGAGTCAGTCAGGAAGTTGACCGGATGATAGAAGACAAAATGAAAATAGAAATCAATCAAGAAGTGGGGACCACAAATGTAGTTTTGACCAAGAATTTGATAGTTAATCTACCAGCGTGAGCTTACCTATTTCTGCCTAATTATGTACACTATCCACCAAAATCAGTCATCATAGTTGAGGTATGTGTCTGCTTTTCGCAGATAAGTTGGTTGTATTTTGTTAAAAAATATTTCACAAGAATGGACAAATCAACTTACCCAGTTATACCTTTGAATTAAAAAACCTTTTATTGTCGGGGGGAAAAAAAGTATGTGATGAGGAAACTGCATTTTAGGAACATTGGTGTTTTTTCATCTTGTTTCAGGAGCTGAACCGTTTACGAAAGGCTGCCCTGGCCTTTGGTTTCCTGGACCTGCTCAAAGGGGTGGCTGACATGCTGGAAAGGGAGTGCACACTGCTGCCCGACACGGCCCACCCCGATGCAGCCTTCCAGCTGACCCACGCCGCCCAGCAGCTCAAGCTGGCCAGTACTGGCACCTCCGAGTATGCTGGCTATGACCACAACATCACCCCTTTGCAGACAGACTTCTCTGGGAGCAGCACTGAAAGAATGTGAAGCTGACTTTGGGAGCCTTCCTTTTTTCATTTCAAATGAAAATGATTTAGGATAAAAACTTTTCCAGGGTGTTCACCTCTGCAACAACCACCCAAAGACCTCGCTGAGGCTGCCTCCGCAGCACCATTTGCTGCTTTGAATGACTGCACGTCTGAGAAGGGCTCTGAAGGGTTGTTGGCTGCTTAGGCCTGGACCTTAGCTTTCTGGGGCTCAGAGTCTTTCAGCTGAGACACCTGCTGCTCCCACGAAGGGCACATCTCCTGAGAAGCTTGAAGGTCTGATGCGCACAGAGCTCTCCCCGTTCCTCAGGCACCCTCACCTGCAAGCTCCTCTGGCTTTCTGAAAGGCACCCTCTCTTCTCTCAGTCATAAGGACATTTTCAAGCTTCTGCCCTTGCGACAAGCAACCCAGACTCTCTGGGACCAGCTAAATATAAGCTCTACACCACTAAGTTTTGGAACTTTTCTTAGAACTTGGGCAAAAGTTGGTGGTAACCTTTAGGTGCTTTTGATATGTCTTGAGATACAGACTTAAATAGCAACCATAAATGTATACGATTATTCCTGTTTCTTCAAGTTTTTTTTTTTTTTTTAATGAAAAAATAATTGCTTTTCTATAAAATGGTTTTACTGGAAAGCTAATGAGTCTTTGCCTTTTGATCTGTCCTATCTGGATATAATTTCAGCTTCCTATGTGGCACAGATTCATAAATTATAAGGGTTCCTTGAGTTCCTTACTGACTTCCTTTTTCTGACACCGTAAGGCCTCATTGCATAAGCCAGGTTCCATCCAGGTAGATTCCGACAGGTCACTGCAGTCAGCTACCCTTCCAAAGCATCAGCTAGCTTCATGACCTTGAGCAAGTCCTGTAGCTTCTCTAGGTTTTATTTATATCATCAGTGCTTTTCAGATTGCTCTGTGGACTGCCTAAGCGGAACTGCTATATAATATTTTGTTTGAACAAAGGACTTTATCATGAACAATTTGAGAACCATTAGAGTAAATAAATTATCTTTAGCCCGGCCGGTGTGGCTCATGCATCACATCGTGGTTGAGTGATGACCCATGCACCAAGAGGTCACCAGTTCGATTCCCAGTCAGGGCGCATGCCCATGTTGTGGGCCAAACCCCCAGTGGGAGGCATGCAGGAGGCAGCCAATCGATGTTCTCACTCATCGATGTTTCTCTCTCCCTCTCCCTTCCTCTCTATAAAAAATAAAGAAAAAAAAATTTTTAAATAAATGATCTTTAACACAGTTATTAGGATTTTGACTGTAAATGTTTAATAGAAATACACAATCTTCTGCTTTCTCAGACAGCAACAAAAGGGCTTGTAAGAATGTAAGAGTCTGCCACAGATGCAGCACAATCTACTGCAATGGTCTTCCCAATCACACACACACAGGTGAAAGAACATCAGAAGTTAATACAAACAAGTATTGATGGAAATTACAGACATGCAAACTGTCCTTTCAGTGCAATGAACCTGTGAAAACAATCCACCAGCCTATGCTAATCATGTTTTTACATCAAACTAAGTTTCCACCTTGGGCTCAGAAACAACGTAACTCATTTAGTACCCTTTTCCCCAGAACAATGGGAATGGCAAAACAAAAAGCACATCATGCCTTAAATTCTTTTATAGAAGCATTACTTCTAACACATTTTACTTGGAATGTAGTAGAAGAAACTGATGTTTTTGACAATGGCCAAACTTCATAATGCCTAGATTTTCTTTTTCAGTTCCTCTGTTGGTGGGTTTCCTGCCAGGAATTTTGGTTAAAGCACCAGCGGTGGTGGTGGTTCTCCAGCCAGCATTCTGTTTACTGTCCTACTGCAGAGGGCAAACAGCAGAATAAGCAGGTGTTTTTGAGGTCTACTCAAAAACAAAATCCCACCACTTACTCGGATAGGTACACAAGTAAACGGACTTAGCCAGTGCAGGGGAAGGAAGGCTGAGTGCTTTATGTTTGCGCACAGCCTACGACAGTTCTGCAGGTCGTTCAGCCCGGCCTACTCTAGCTTCCAGTTTGCTATGGCTGCATTGCCAGCAGCTGTCTTATGGCCAGTTTGACTCTTCTGACCCCTGTAGCCATTTGGGGTTGGAACTCTTATAATCTAATGTTTCAAATCTCTTTAGTGTCAAAAATAGTTCTGATTTATCTCAGAATGAAGTTAAGTGATCATGGTGTTCCAAGGTTCTGACTGGTTTCTCTCAAATCATTCTGTGCCCACACAGGTAAGCACTATATAGTAACATATCATTAGCAAGGCCAAAAAACTCAGAGGTAATATGTGTTCTCTAGACCCACCTGGACTCAGAAATGTTTTATCAATGGCTGAATCAAACAGATTTCAAAAAATCAATGCCATTCTACTTAACGAGTAACCCCTTGGGTACAGAATATACTAGGTCCTGCCTGGGTCACTTTCACAGCCTCCTATACAGCAAGCCTTGCTTTGTCTCTGCAGTCAATAGCTGAGAAGAACAAATTCCAGCTGTAAGAATGGCCAGTGCCTACCTAGTAGGTTCAGGGCACTGACGCCATCTCTCTGACTTGTGTGAAACAGACTGACTGGACATGGAGTGGGTGGGGCAGGGCTGAGTCGGCTGTCACTAACAATACAAAAGAACAAACCCGTCATCAGATGTCATGCAAGTACTACACTAAGATAATACAGTAAATTCAGGATGTTACTGGGAAAAAGGGAAGATAGACTTACTGAGAATTTAATCATTTAACTTTAGAAAAAGTTTTACATCAGTAGAAGAAGGTAAAACTGTAAGAATTATAGATTAAGCTCAAAAGTCTAAATGGCAAGAAGTCACCTAAATCTCTTTTCAGTGGGTCTTTTTCTTTCTTTGTCCATAGCGCCGCCTGCGCTGTTTATACAAGTGACGGAAATTTATGTATAACCCTGAAAAAAAAAAGAGGCCAGTTAGAAATGAGAATCTTTGTCCTTGTTCATAACCAGAAGCTGCTGGGCAGGGACAGTCTCTAGTTGTGTTTTCACATCCCTCTGTGCTTACTGCTCAGGAAGCACAACTTAGTTGTTAACAAGTTATTAACGATGCACTGGAGACAACTCGATTTCTCCCAGTGGGTTTACAATTTCACTTGTTTCCTTACTGTGAAAATTTTCAAACATACAAAAAAGATTAAATCATTGGCACAGTAAATACCCAGCTAGGTTTAAACTGTAACTCTTCATTACATTTACTTTATCTCAGACCCATTTCCCATCTCATTTTTGATGTTTTATTTTTAAATAAAAGTTACAGACATCAGTATCTCTAAACATTTTCTTAATTGGAATTCACAAGATCCCTTTTTTGTTGTTGTTAATCTTCACCCAAGGATATTTTCCCATTTATTTATTTTTTAGATAGAGAAATACCGATGTGAGAGACACATCAATTGGTTGCCTCTTGCACAACCCCGACTGGTGCCAGGGATTGAACCTGAAACCCAGGTCCATGTCCTTGACCAGGATCGAACCCCACGGCCCTTCAGTCCCCTGACCAATGCTCTGAGCCAAACTGGCCAAGGCTACCCTTCTAACTTTTTTAGTACAATATTTTAAGTGTCTTTCCAATACTTATTCCTCTTTAACACTTTCAGTATGCCCACCTCACAGAGCCTAATTACAATAACAGTAGATTTGTCCAGTAATAGAGGTAAAGAGCTCTTTTAATAAGTGCATTTTCCAAACTGAAGCTTATTCCCTTCAACGGCCAAACATTTTAACATTTTTGGTTAGAAATCTTTCTGAAATGTATTATACCCTTTCTGAAATAGAAAATAAGAAATTGAGCCCTGGCTGGTTTGGCTCAGGGTTAGAGCGTTGGCCTGCAAACCAATGAGTCGCAGGTTTGATTCTGGTCAAGGGCACGCACCTCAGTTGCAGTTAGTCCCCGACCCTGACTGGAGTCGTGCAGGAGGCAACCAGTCAATGTGTCCATCTCATGTCAATGTTTCTCTCTCTCTCCCCCTCCCACTCTATCTGAACAAAAATGGAAAAATATCCTCGGATAAGGATTGAAAAAAAAAGAAAAGAAATTGAATAAATTTAATCTTTGGCAAATGGCCTATACTCATAATGTATATTATTTAACTGTGCTCTGCCATGTGCCGATATCCTGAAGTGTAGGTCTCTTCTCCCCTAATACTGAATGACCAAGGCCACTTTGCTTTCTGGTTTCTTGGGTTTATTTTTTGTGGTCTTCCTCTCACTGTCTGGTGTAGCCAGCCTCTAAAACGGTCCCCAGGGATCCGTACCTACTGCTATTTCATACCCTTGTGTAGTCCCTTCCCATACTTGACTAGGTAGGTCTATGTAACCAACAGAATGTGAGAAAAGTAACAGTATGTCACTTTGAAGATTAAGTTATAAAAGGCAATGTGGCCCTGGCCGGTTTGGCTCAGCGGTTAGAGCATTGGCCTGTGGACCAAAGAGTCACGGGTTCGATTCCAGTCAAGGGCACGTGCCTTGGTTATGGTTTGGTCCCCCACCCTGGTCAGGGTCATGTGGGAAGCAACCAATCAATGTCTCTCTCTCATATCAATGTTTCTCTCTCCCCTCCCACTCTGTCTGAAAAAAAAAAAAGAAAAGAAAAAATAGCCTTAGGTAAGGATTAAAAAAAAAAAAAGCAGTATGGTCATGGTAGAGGTACTAATCATCACTTCAGTGGCAATCATATTACAATATATAGATGTATCAAATCAACATGTTGTCTACTTTAAATATATATAGTATTATATGTCAAACATATTACAATAAAAAATTAAATAAGATTTTTAAAAGCAGTGTGGCTTCTGGCTCTCAGTTCACTTACGCTGGGGGAAGCCATGTCATGAGCAGCCATCTGGACAAGTGTTGTGGCAAGAAACCAAAGCCTCCTGTCCACATCTACGTGAGTGCGCGAGCTCGGGAGAGATCCTCAAGCCCCAGTCAAGTTGCAGAAGCTGTAGCCCCAGCTGAGCTGACAGCTTGACTAGAACCTCATGAGGGACCCTGAGCCAGGGCCACCCAACTAGGCTGCTTCCTGACCCATAGAAACCATGTGAGATAATATCTGTTGTCTTAAGCTGCTAAATTTTGGCGTTTTTTTGTTACATAGGAATAGATAACTAATATACTATCTGCTGTCACACCCTCTGTTGCTAGGAGACCAGCCAGCCATACTTATTTAGGGCCACCTCAAGACTTTTGTGAACTAAAGCAGGGGTAAATACATAAATTATATTAAAATGTATTAGAACTTTATCTAAAGTAAAGAGTCCTTATAGTTAGGAAGGCTTATAAATCTCTCATATTTGCAATAATTTAGGTTTACATATTTTTCCGTTCTTTCAGTTTTTATTTATTTATTTTTATCCTCACCCGAGGACACTTTTCCATTTTTTGTTCAGATAGAGTGGGAGGGAGAGAGAGGAAGAGAGAGAAACATCGACGCGAAAGGGACACATCGAGTGGCTGCCACCCACACGACCAACCAGGGTAGGGGACAAACTGCAACCAAGGTACCTGCCCTTAGCGGGAACCGAACCCAGGTCTCTCTGGACCGCAGGCTGACGCTCTAACTGCTGAGCCAAACCGGCCAGGGCAGTTTTTATGAATTAAGGCAAGAATTTATATTTTATATAAAAGTAAATTAATAAATAAACAAGCAGGTTTTACATGAGGCACAGGGACCTCCTGTTGGTAGGCAGAAGGCTTTATGACATCTCTGAGCTGTTCTTCCTTCCTTCTGCCAGTCGTACTCCCATTCCTGTAAACTCTGGGTAAGGAATGTGCTACTGAAATGGGCAAGAGTACAACGAGCTTCTTATTCTACTGTAAAAGAGCTTCTTACATTGTTTTAAACATGAAATATATTATGGTGAGTTCCCAGTGACCAAGAGCAGCTCAAAGAAGATAACCACTGGGGATATTTGGGAAGAAATACTTCCCGTACATAGCACATTCTCCTAGTGAGTCTGTTCTGCAAAGGAACCTTTCTTTAACTCTATCCTGCCCTTTTGGAAATAAGATTCATCAAGACTTAAACTCTGAAACACTTAACTGTACCCTCTACAGAAGTGAAAGGAAAAAACTACAGAGCCAATACTTACCTAAAAATAATATTATAAGATAAACCTGAAGAAAAAAGGAGAATCTAACTTTGATTTTCACCGGATACGGCAATGTGAAGCTGAATCTGCCTGTTTCGTTGAACACGGGAATGGACTGGATCACGGAGACAGCTGAAAGCACAAAGACCTCGTTAGAAGCAAGTAAAATAGTCACAACTAGTGACAGCGCCTTTTAACCCCTCCAAGTTTCAGTTATGGGTTTGTTGAAAATGCTCCCTCCTCCCCTTGTACAGAGGGCTTATGCCTCTTCTATTCCCCCCTAGTTTCCCTAAAAGACGAGCCTCCGAGCTGACAACAGAAGATGAATGGGGAACAACCATTTGACAATACTGGGCTTCAGTTTCCTAGTCTATGAAATGGAGAGAAAAATCCCTATCTGACTCACCCACTAGTTGTTTGTCAGAGTAAAATAATCAATATTGGCCTGCTTTGGAAAACTAAAACTACCATATAAATAGGAAGCATGCGATACATCACCACCTGGTTCCCAAATGAGCTACTTCCCTAGAACAGTCTGGATATCAGGAGTATTATGGAAGGAAGCCACTAGGAAGAAAATCTTGAAAAGTCCAACTTCCATATATTGACTAAGACTAAGAGAAGGTGGAAGAAAGATCTGCCTATTGGCTTAGCTCTCCCTTGGTGCTAAGCTGTAAAACCTAGAGTTCCTGAAAGTACCTTCTGCCAAACATCCCAGAGGATATAAAGGAATCCACACAGTGTAGCGAAGCCATGTGAGCACTTTCCAATCCATGTCAATGCAGGAAAGCATGTAGAAGGGGTACCTATGAAAATAAGGAATTCAGAAGTTAAAAGCCACTTCAGGTTTAGAATGCAACCTTAGAACATCATTCAAACAGAACTATTTCACAATTAGCCACACGTCTTCTTCAGAACAGAAGTATAATCCTGGGCTAGCTACCCACAAACTCCCATCACGCTCTTCCCCCAGTCTTCAAAGGATGTGAACTCTCTTTAATGACAGACTAAGTGTAGGTCTCAAAGTAACCTTCTTTGAAATAGTTTAGTATGTGGAACGGATGCTCAGAAGCTTTTTGGCTTTATTCCTAGTTCTGGTCGGCATTCCAAGTAGATAAGGATGATAGACACACTGATAGGCAAGTTATCTCTGGATAAATGGATGCTATCAAAATTAAGTAGACGTATACCAAAGACCTTTAACCTAGAATCATACTTATGGAACATGTATGGTCTAATAGGGAGAAGATTACATCTACTTAATTGGATTTTTAAAGTTTTTTATTGACAACTGAGAAGGGAAGCACCAGATAAGAAATCTTACAAAGGTTCATTCCCACCATTCCTTCTGGAAGGCTGGTCCTCACTAGTTCCATCCAACCTGCATTGTTCCTTCAACTCCAGGTTTCTTCAGCCCTTTCATGAATTTTTCTCTTCCCAACAAGACAGCAAGATCCTAAAAAGTAAGATGGGTCTCCTCCTTTCTCTGGATCTCTCCTGCTCCTCAGTGCCCAGGCTGGTGCTACGATCCGATGACGGCTTTAAAAAACTCTGCCTCAAAACTACAGAACAAACATCCTTCAGAACTGCCGCCTGAAATTAAGCTGAGTGAAAGTCCTACAATTATGAAATTAAAGAAGCCACACTGAGACTGGTAGGAGGGACCGAGGCACAGACAGGCTGGTCCCACACCCACATGTAGCCGATAAGAATCAGAAGGGATACCTCAGCTGGGAAGGTCCTCCCTGAGGACTGAGGGGTCCCCATCCCACACCAGGCGCCCTGCTCAGCGTCCACGTGCCAGAAAGAGAAGTCCCCATAACTTCTGGCTGTAAAACCAGTGGAAACTGAGGCTGAGGGAGGCCGAGGCTGAGGGAGGCTGAGGCTGCAGGAGCCCCAGGCAGATCCCCTTAAAGGGCTCGCACACGGACTTACTTAGACCACCTCCCTCTGACCTCCAGCACGGAGGGGAGGCAGCTTGAAAGGCACTAGAGACACATGGGGAAGAACTGAGTTGTTTGGCATCAGGATGAGGACTGGAGAGGCAGCTTTCTCCTGGACAGACATGCTGGCGGAGGGCTTGTTCCCTTGGTGAGCCCTTTTACCCACAGGGCTGGCACACAGCTGCTACATCTGGGACTCCAGCAGCCTAGCTCACACTGTTTGGTCCGCCCTGGTGATTCACTGAGGCCCTGCCCCACCCAATTTTCAGGCCGAACCAAACCTGTTTCCAGTAGCTTTACCATAGGATTGGCCTGTTTTGGCTCCTGTTTCAGATTTTCCTGAATTTTCTCAAACAAGCAGCATCTAGCCACAGCGAGACCCATACCCCTTGCTAAGTGGCCCCAGGCCTGGCACTAGAAGTAGCCAGCTTTGGTTCACAGCTCGGCTTCACCTGGGCACCAAGCCCACGACAAGAAGCAGCCATAGGCACATCGCTTTGTAGCTTATGCCTGGTGGCCCCGATAGAACACAGGCAGTGGCTGCCCTTGCTCCAGAGCCAGCACACCCAGTGGACAACTTCAGACCACATCGAAGCACCACCACCCAACCACCTCCACAAGTGACACACTCAAGAAATGGACTTAGGGGGCACCAGAGCCCTGCTGAAGTAAGTCTTGCTCTGTGTGGTGGCCCCTGCACAGCTGATCCTCCAAGGTAGTCAGAGGTCGGTGGTTAGTGGGCAGAGCCAGCCTTGCAGCTGATCAGCCTGAGTAAAACCCTCCCACTGAAGTACCAACAGCAATCAAGACTCAATTACAACAGAAGGTTGTAAAGTCCACACCAGGGGTGCACCTTGGGGGCCCAGCTGGGAGATCAGGGAGGCTGCGCCACTGGACCCTACAGGACACCTACTACAACGGGCCACCCTAGGAAGCCTAGGAGACATAGCGACTCTACCTAATACATAGAAACAAACACAGGGAGGCAGCCAAAACCAGGAGACAAAGTAACATGTCCCAAATAAAAAAACTCCAGGAAAATAACTAAACAAAATGGAAATAAGCAATCAATCAGATGCAGAATTCAAAACACTGCTTATAAGGATGCTCAATGAACTTAGTGAGGGCCTTAAGAGCATAATAAAGGACCAGTCAGAAATGAAGGAGACACTAACTGAAATAAATAATAATTTATAAGGAATCAATAGTAGAGTAGGTAAAGCCAAGAAGCAAACCATCGATTTGAAATATAAGGAAGCAAAAAACACCCAATCAGAACAGCAAAAAGAAAAAAAAAATCTAAAAAAATGAGGACAGTATAAGGAGCCTGTGGGACAACTTCAAGCATACCAATATTCACATCATGGGAGTGCCAGCACGAGAAGAGAGAGGGCAAGAAATGTGAAAACCTATCTGAAAAAATAATGACAGAAAACTTCCCTAACTTGGTGAAGGAAACAGACATACAAGTCCAGGAAGCACAGAGAGTCCCAAACAAGATGAATCCAAAGAGGTCCACACCAAGATACATCAGCATCAAAATGCAAATGGTTAAAGACAAAGAGAGAATCTTAAAAGCAGCAAGAGAAAAGCAGTTAGTTACCTACAACAGAGCTCCCATAAGCGTGTCAGCCGCTTTCTCAAAAGAAATTTTGCAGGCCAGGAGGGAGTGGCAAGAAATATTTAAAGTGATGAAAAGGACCTAAAACCAAGATTACTCTACCTGCAAAGCTATCATTTAGAATTGATGGGCATATCAAAAGTTTCCCAGACAAGAAAAAGCTAAAGGAGTTCATCACCACCAAAACAGTAGTATATGAAATGTTGAGGGGTCTTCTTGAAGAAGAAGATTAAAAATATGAACAACAAAATGGCAATTAATACATATCTATCCACAATTGAATCTACAAACAAAATGAGCAAGCAGAACAGAAACAGATTCATAGATACAGAGAACTTTTTGTTGGTTGCCAGATAGGAGAGGAGTTGGGTGGAAATGATGAAGGGATTAGGAAGTACAAATTGGTTGTTAGACTGCTGAACCTCAAAGGGAAGGGGGAAGGTGGGGCGGGAAGAGAGAAACCAAAGAACTTATATGCAGATATGCATAACCAGTGGAAGCAGACCATAGTGTGGGGAAAGCAGGAGAAGGGTGGCATTGGGGAGGAGGGAGTCAAGGGGGAAAAAATAGAGGGACATCTGTAATATATTCAACAATAAAGATAAGTTTTACAATAATAAAGTAAATAAAAAACTCTGCATCCACTTTTGCAGAGCACATAGATGCAGCTACAACTCTCCTTAATCCCAAACCAAATGAGACTCTGAATAAGACAGCAAGTCTCTCGAGAAGAGATCTAATCCAAAGAAGAAGCATTCAAACAGCATCCTAGCATCTTACCCACCTGAAAATTTCAATTGTGCTCCAAATATAAAACACAAAGAAAACCACAGCTTTGTTTTGCATTTCTTCCATGGTGCCAAAGATGATAAACAAAATGAAATTTCTTCCAAAAAGCTATTAAAAGGACCCAAAAGAGAGAAAAAAGTTTTAAAATGTATTTTTAAAAACCATATACATGTGTTATCTGAAACCTAACCCCAGTAAATTCAAGGTAAAAAAAAAGATTGAGCTCAACTGGTTTAAGCTTTGCTCCTGTTTTAGAACAAGTTAAATGCCCAAACCAGTATTTCTGGTAAATGGGTGTGTGTGTGCATGCATGCATGCATGCGTGTGTGTGTGTGTGTGTGTGTGTGTAAATGTATCATTATAACTAGTGTTTTTTTAAAATACACTCAAACACTTTAAAGGATACTGCTAAATGGACATCTGTGTCTGCATAACCCAAGTTAAGAAATAGAACATTACCCGTATGGCACCTCCTCTCCACCTTGTAAGTAATACTATCCTGTGTTAACCATTCCATTGTTTTTCTTTATAGATTTACTGCTTCACTTTGCCTGTTTTTTAATGTGCTGAGATCATGCTACATGTGTTCTTCTGTGACTTACTTCTTTCTCAACATTATGTTCCCAGGAGTCATCCACACTGAATCACGTGGCATTGCCCAGCTCCCGGAGACTTCATTCATACTGTATTCTCTGTGATACTTGCTGAAGACATGTAATGTGATACTGAAGCTTGCCCTAGAAATTCTACCCTAATGCTTATTTGTACTAGTCACTGATATACAAAAAATATTATTCCATATTAGTGGTCACTCACTAGCCCCTTTTTATTTTTTAAACTAAACAAAGCAGCCTCTGTCCAAGGGCAGAAAAACAAATAACAAGGCTATTGTATTAACACCCTTTACCATGCAAATGATGCTATTCCATGCCAGAGCTGGTATACCACGAAAGGGTAGAATTATAAAAACTGCTTCAGAAAAGACTAACCAATAATCACCTGACTCCCCGTGTCTGAGTAGGTGGTAGTTAATGGTATGTAACTGCATAGCTAGGAAACAGAAAGGAGGATCAAAGGCTTTGATGCCCCATTCCTGGTAACACTCTTCCAAATATTAGGGAAACACATAGATGTAGTGGGGGGAGGGATCACCACACAAGTCAGAAGAGCCATCTTCATATAGGAAAGAACGTCCAACGTAAAAAGAGTTCCTTGGTGTTATACTGCCTTCACCCACCCAAGGTGGGAGGAGACCAAGCATATCTCTATCTAAGAAGATTGAGCCTAGGATTTTCTGCTCCTGCCTGAGAATCAAGTTTCCCTAGTTTTACAGCTCTTTGTATAACTGTGATTTCATGAAGATGTTATAATAAAATCAACCTGAAATGGCAAAAGTTTACTTTGGAAAATATACCTGAGGCTTAAATTTTATTTCCTTGTTCAGATAAAACAATGGTTTTCCTGTGCCAATAGGTATTTTTACTAATTGAGACTTCTCAGCAAATTGTAACATAACTACTAAACACTGAATTCTTTCATTCCCCACCCTTGAGATCAACTTTTCAATACCTGGAGAACAGAAGGTATCACTGGTGACTTAGTGACTCCAATTGCTGCATTGATAGTTTCCACAACTGCCAGCATCTGGCAAAAATACATCATGTCAGCCATGGTGTGAAATGTGTCATAAAAGGACTCTACGGGACAAAAATACATTAAGAATAAATGAAATGGCAAATTACAACAGAATCATTTCTCAAACTATGTAACTCCTTGCATGAAAGGAATTTTGAGAAAGACAATAAAATATCCAGTCAGATTCAAGTTTACTAACCAGCTACACTGGAAGAAAGTAGTCCTTCAGATTCGTGAACAGTCAGCTCTACTGGTTACTAGAAAGTTAACACACAAGCTCTGCATGCACTTCTCATTTAATTTAGTTATTTTTTTAATCCTCACCTGAGGATATTTTTCCATTTATCCTCAGATAGAGCGGGAGGGAGGGAGGGAGGGAGGAAGAGAAAGAGAGAGAAACATCAACTGGCTGCCACCCGCATGACCCCAATCGGCTTCAGGGACGAACCGCAACCAACGCACGTGCCCTTGGCCAGAATCGAACCCAGGACTCTCTGGTCCTCGGGACGACTTTCTAACTGCTGAACCGGTACAAGAGATGCACTTCTCATTTTTTTTAATCCTCACCTGAGGACATTTTTCCATTTATCTCCAGACAGACTAGGAGGGAGGGGGAGAGAGAGAGAAAAATCGATGTGAGAGAGACACATCGACCGGTTGTCTCCCGTGCAACCCCAACCAGGGCCAGTGATGAACCACAACTGAGGTACATGCCCTTGACCAGAATCAAACCCTCAACTCACTGGTCCGCAGGCCAACACCCTAACTGCTAAGCCAAACCGGCCAGGGCTAAAATACTTATAATATTGTTTTAAAACAAGATGCAAAATTGTATACACCATGTGATTATATTTTCAACTGTAGGAGAAAAAAAAGACTAAAAGGCAATGTATGGACAATGGCTTAGTAACCTCCTCTTCCTTCTCCCACACCTTAACCCCTGTTTTCCCTAGTTTTATAAACTTTCTTAGATCAGCACATTTAATTTTATGATTTGAAAAAAAATTTTTGTAAGTAGGAAAAGGCATTCATATATTAATGGAATATGGATTTAAATAGTGGTTGTATAAAATAATAACTCTTTCTGGGTATTATACATCCAAATCCTTAAAAACAATTAGTCCTTGTCTGGCTGGTGTGGCTCAGTGGATAGAGCTTTGTCCCATGGACTAAACAGCGATTCTTAACCTTTCACAGGAATCGCCGAAGACCATCAGAAAACACATATTTCCGATGGTCTTAGGAACCGAGACACCGCTCCTCTATCCATCTCCAGGCGGGTCCACCCACATGCAGATATGTCCACATACAACATGAGGAACTCTATTAAAGGGTCTGGGCATTAGGAAGATTGAGAACCACTGGCACTAATCGGACCAAGAGGTCGCCGGTTCGATTCCCGGTCAGGGCACATACCTGGGTTGTGGGCTTAATCTCTAGCAGGGGGCGTGTAGGACACAGCTGATTGATGTTTCTCACATGGATGTTTCTCTTTCTCTCTCTCCCTTCCTCTCTCTCTAAAAAAATCAATATATTTTTTTAAAATGTTGTCCTTTAATCTCACAATTCCACTTCAGGAATTGTGGGAAAAATGCCAAGAACCAAGAAGCCAAGAATCTGTTGCTCTCACAGTTTGGGGTTATGACAGAATTTTTGTTTTAAGTCTTTATTTTCTGATTTCGTCTGTAATTAACACTTTTATAATTAGAAAAAAATTAAAAATGTATTTAATAAAAAAGTATTACTTTGCCCTGATCAGTTTGGCTCAGCAGTTAGAGCTTCAGCCTTCGGTCCAAAGAGACCAGGGTTCAGTTCCCACTAAGGGCACGTACCTCGGTTGCAGTTTGTCCCCAGCCCTGGCTGAAGTCGTGCAGGAGGCAGCCACTTGATGTGTCCCTTTCACATCAATGTTTCTCTCTCTCTCTTCCTCTCTCTCCCTCCCACTCTATCTGAACAAAAAATGAAAAATGTCCTCAGGTGAGAATAAAAATATTAATATATATATAAATATATATATTACTTAATAAAAAGCTAGGCAAGCTCAAATAAGAGTTTCTACATAAGCCCAAGAGTCTGCTGCTGTTTCCTTAGCATATGGAGTTTAGCAAATACATGCTTACATGAAAAATCAAGCACATGTGTGGAATCTGCCTTTAAACAAAATCCTTTATTCGAAAAGAGAAAATTGCAAAGGGCAAACTAGTACCCTGGGTGTCAGGCCCCAACTCCTCTCTGAGAACTGATAAGGGAAGAATTAAACCAGCAGCTCCATTCCAGTAGTTGGTTAGGAAGGGGCTCAGAGCCAAAATAGAAATTACAAATCCAGGCAGCTTATTTTAAACACCTGACCCAGATGCTTAGTAGCCTTTGGACTGCATTACCTAATAGCCAGCAGGCTTGCATGGCAACACTCAGAATCAATCCAATTGTGTTGGTAAGCTGTGATTTGCAGGATTCCAAGGTGTTAAGAAGGCTGGAAAAATGTGCACTTCTTTCAAATGATTCTAGAGCTAACTACAATTCACCTTCTACAAACTTCAGATGGAAAAATTTAGGAGTAAAGAATAAAACAGTCAAAAGGATTTTTTCTCTCTCTTTAAATAGAGTTTATATATTCCCATTATACTTAGATTTTTCCTCATATTTATTTTACAAAATAAAGAATTTTTAAGAAATTATCTACATTCAAACCATTTGAAGATGGTGCATTTCCACCCAATCTTTGTGTGTGGGGGGGTACATTTTCACTTTTTCATGTGTGTGTGATCAAATAAATTTAATCACAAATTTATTTGGAAGAATAAATGGAAGAATAAATTTATATGTTACTTTTTCAGCCTGTCATCAGTATTTTTCCATGTTATTACACACTCTTTAAATACTTTATATTTGTGCCTGGCCGGTGTGGCTCAGTGGTTGAGCGTCAACCCATGTACCAAGAGGTCTCCGGTTCGATTCCCACGTTGTGGGCCCAAACCCCAGTGGGGAGCATGCAGGAGGTAGCCAATCAATGTTCTCTCTCATTGATGTTTCTATCTCTCTCTCCCTTTCCCTTCCTCTCTCTCTAAAATCAATAAAGAAAAACAAACGTAGCACCATAAATATTTTATATTTGTTTCACAACATTTCACTGAGGGAATATCCTAAACCAATCCCTCACTGGACATGTAGGTAGCTTCTAACTTGTCACTAATATAAAAAATGACAATATGTCTATCTTTTTGAAAAAGCTTCTCTTGCAGTTTCAATTCTGCCTTTAGAACATAGTTCCAGAAGTGAAAGTACCAGGTTCAAGGATATAAACAGTTAAGCTTCTTGATTCACTTTGCCAAATGATTTCCCAAGAGTTGTAATTATGGACCTTCACAGTAGCCATTGGTGTGTCTATTTTAGCATATGTCATCTTGATTCAAGTATATTTTTTAACTTTGCAAAATTGATAATAAAAAATGTCTTATTTTTTATTTTCTTCATCATTACTGAATTAAACATTTTTTGGTGTAATAGTTTTAGTTCCTCTTATGACTTTCCTGTACATACTTTTATTTATCTAGTAGAGTTTTCACATATTTAAATCAATTTGTGCAAGGTCTTTATATGTAAATAAATCAACACTTAGTGGTATTTGTTGCAATTTTCCACCAACCCTCCATCTCCACACTGCTAACCTCAATATATGTTTAATCTTTAATGCTGTTTTGGCTGGAGTGTTTTTAGATATAGAGAAATTTAGATATTTTATTGTAGTCAAATATATGGACCTTTTCCTTTATGATTCTTCCAACATTTTAAGCTTAGAAAGGCCTAACCTTCCACATGAGATTTTTATAAATATTTACTTATATCTTCTATTATGGTTTACCTTTTTTATATATAATTCTTAAATCCTTTGGGAAAATTTCTTTTTGTGTACAGTGCAAGGAAGAAGGATCAAACGAAGTCCTTGCTCCCTCATGTGCCCAAACCTAACCAATTTTCCTTGGAAACATTTATCCAATAAAAAAGTACTGGATAATATTTCCCTTTCTGTTGATTTATGATTCCTTTATCATATATAATTCATGTATGTGTATAATGTAAGAGCTATTCCTAGGCCACCTAATCTGCTCTGCTAATTAGTCTATTCTTACATGAAGACTGTACTATTTTAATTATCATTCTTTCATATCAGGTGGAGAAAGTCCTCTCCCATTGCCTTTCTTCCCCCAAATTTTAGGATCTATTTATATGTTCACAAAACAATTTCAGAATACTTTAGATCACATGCTCAAATATTTTCCATTGTCATATATTTTGGCCAGAGTTCTGTTAAACATGTAAATTAATTTATCAAGAACTAATATCTTTGTGATAGTCTTTTCATTCATTTTTAGAACAGTCCAGTTGACAATCTATTTAGGCTCCAAAAGGATGAAGTCCCTTTTGGACTTGCATAATTTTGGCACTGGAAATATCACATCAATTTCTTTAGTTATAAACTATCATGTAGCGAATAGACAAAGGGATGCTAGTCCAAGATATGGCCCTGGCGAGCTGTGCAGACATAGGCCATTTCTTTGGCTGTCTAAATCTGTTTCCTCACCTGTTAAAGAGACAGAATATCAGCCTGCCTGTTTCAGAGGCCATGGAAAATAACAGATGTGAAAGTACAATGAAAAGCATGAAGTACTATACAAATATGGAGGGCTATTACTAATACCAAAGGCAGAGAGTATTACCTTTGGTGAGCAGCGAGCCAATCTACTAAAAAAAGAAAACTAGCGTTAAAATTTGATACTTGCCTTTTCCCAAGATAAAGAACCGCACAGTCATGTTGACAAACATCCAGGAGAATCCCAAGAATTGCACAAGGTTATACATGAAAAGGTATCCTTTCTTTAAGCTTATAAGAGCTGAAAAACAAAGCAAGGCAGTAAACTGTTACTAGCAGCAGTCACAGTCACAGCAGGAGAGGGGTGTGTAGGGCATATAGTCATCATTTCATCCCTCTTTCCTATGGGTGCCCTAAGCTCCCAAACAAATACCTGGCCCACGTCTGCACCAGCCTGGCTCCTGACTCCACAGAGGAACAGATAAGGAAAAAGCATGAGGAACACTGCACTCCAAGGTGTGTTTTCAGCACTCTTTCACCTCAGAGCCTTGAAGGGTAAGTATATAGACATAAGAAGTCCAGAAAGAGAATATATCTTAGGAGGCATTAGAGTAGGGGGAAAAGCTATACTCAGCTCCTCTTCTTGTTATCTTAATATAATCTACAGTTAATTCTTTTCTGGAATTTTTTTAAGGTCATGCTGGTCAAACTAGCTCAAAGAGAGAGAATGAATAATAAAAAAACTTCTAATATTTGATCATATATTGATTCAACCAAGCATTAATTGAACACCTACAATGTCCAAGCTACAGAGGGGCACTATTGGGATTCAAAGAACTTAAAATCTAGCCCGGCCAGCATGGCTCAGTGGTTGAGCATCAATCCATGCACCAAGAGGTAGCTGGATTTTGTGGGTTTTTTTTGGTACGTGCCCCTAGCGGGAACCGAACCCAAGACTCTTTGGTCCACAGGCCAACGCTCCAACCGCTGAGCCAAACCAGCCAGGGCGACATAGCTAGTTTGATTCCCAGTCAGGACACATGCCCACGCTGGCCAAATCCCCAGTGGGGGACATGCAGGACACAGCCAATCCATGTTCTCTCACATAGATGTTTCTCTCTATCTCACACTCTCCTTTCCTCTCCCTCTAAAATCAATAAAGAGCCCTGGCCAGTTTGGCTCAGCAGTTGGTGCATCGGCCCACGGACCAAAGAGTCACAGGTTCAATTCCGGCCAAGGGCACGTATCACAGTTGCAGTTCATTCCCGACCCTGATCGGGGTCATGCGGGAGGCAACCAGTGGATGTGTCTCTCTCACATCGCTGTCTTTGTTTCTCCCTCTCTCTCTCTCTCCCCCTCCCTCCCACTCTGTCTGAAGATAAATGGAAAGTTATCCTTGGGTGAGGATTTTAAAAAATAAATAAAAATAATAATAAAAAAATAAAATCAATAAAGAAAAAAAAGCTAGACTTTGGCAACATTTAACTAATTAAAATTTTTTCTTCAAAACTACAAAAGTTGCCTGGCTGGTATGGCTCAGTGGTTGAATGTCGACCCATGCACCAAGAGGTCACTGGTTTGATTCCCAGTCAGGGCACATGCCCAGGTTATGGGCCAGATCCCAAGTGGGGGGCATGCAGGAGGCGGCCAATCGATGTTCCCTCTCATCAATGTTTCTATCTCTCTCTCCCAAATCAATAAAGAAAAAATTTAAAAAAAAAAAAAAAACTAGAGGAACACACTCCTTAAAAAAAACAACTACAAAAGTTTATTGTACTTCCCCATCATAAAAAAACTTCTTTTATTAAGAAACTATGAATTTAGATAAAACCGTTAAAGTTTTATCTAACATCCTACTGGTATTTCCACATGTCCATGTAGTACGTGCTGCCACTTAACATTAGGCCAGTCCAAGAGACAAAGGTTCTTCCATACTACTATACCAGGCTGTGTATTCAGATGATGTTAGGCTCCAAACAGATGGGAAATATTGAATGTAAGGTTTCTAATGTGGGTATGCACAGTATAAGCACTGGACATTAAGGATTGCTCATCTACCCACCAATATTAGCTCTCCTATCACATCACTCTCATCCATACCCGATCTCTATCACAAGTTAACTGGTAACCACCATAGCAACAGGAGCAACTTACTTTCAGGGGAGCCTTGGCTTTCAATTCTGAGTTTATTTAGGCGTTCTTCTTCCTAGAATTTAGAGAGAAGTTTTCCAAGAACTCAAGTTAGAACTCCCAGATGCTTGCAAAAGTCCACCTGTTGGAAAAGAGACCTGACTCCCTGAAAGCCACCTCCTCCAATTGTGTTCATGCTTCACTGGGGACAATGTCTCAGCTCATATGCTAACAAGCCTGACTCTTCTTTACTGAGTAGCATTAGCATCATAGAAGACCCATCCAATGCTCACAGAACTAAGCCAATGAGCTCTTCTAATGTATAAAGTGGGTAGTCTTGAAATTGTAGAGCTGGGAGACATGCAGATTTGTCATGGTCATAGAAAGAAAACAGAAACCGATGGACATAGACAACAAAGCTGGGGACAGGGTGCAGGGTTGGGGAGGAGGATGTCAATGAGGGAAAAAGGAGAAACGTCTGTAACAAAAATAAATTAATTTGAAAGAAACAAGAAATTTAAGGCAGAAAATAAATATTTATAGATATATGTATATGCAGTATGCCCACATATAGTTCGTTGTTCAGTCAGATGAGAGGACCTAGAAGCGATGATACCACAGCAGCACTGGGCATACCTGAGCTCCGATCTTGGTTTCTACTACCATTCTCCAATAAAAAGAACAGCCCAGCCAGTGTGGCTCAGTGGACTGAGCATCATCCCATGAACTGAAATGTCCCACTTCGATTCCCAGTCAGGGCACAAGCCTGGGTTGTGCAGGAGGCAGCTAATTGATGTTTCTCTTTCACATTAATGTTTCTCTCTACCTTCCTCTCTCTCTAAAAAAAAAAAAAAAAAAAAAAAAATCAAAAAAATAAAATAAAAAAGAACAGAGGTCTTTCAAGAATGGCTAACTCTAGGGCTGGAACAGGGAACATACAAGATGAGCCTGGTGCCCTGGCTGGTGTGCTCAGTGGTTAGAGCATCAGCCCTGGAACTAAAGGGTTATGGGTTCGATTCCATACAGGAATGTCAGGGCACATACATGGGTTGCAGGTTTGATCCCCAGCCCCGGTCGGGGTGCGTGCAGCAAGAGACAACCAATCAATGTGTCTCTTTCACATCAATGTCTCTCTCTCTCTCCTCCTTCACCCCTTTCCACTCTCTCTAAAAATCAATGGAAAAAATATCCTTGGGTGAGGATTAACAAAACAAAACAAAAAATAAGCCTGGAGCAGCTTACAGTGCCAGAAATTAAGGAAGCACAAAACAAACAAACAAACAAACAAAAAAAACCCACAATGATGGAACTTTCAGCTTGGTTAAAGGGACACAAGCCAACTAAGAGTTCTACTGACCAAAGCTGAAACAATTTGAGCAAGAAAATAAATAACAGAATTTCAGACATCACAAGCAGCAGAATTTTCACTGACACAATAACTAAGCAAGAGATACAAAGGAAAAAATTAATACATGGGACTACATCAAACTAAAAAGCTTCTGCATAGCAAAAGAACCATCAAAATGGGAAGGAAACCCACTATATGGGACAGCATAACTACCAACAATACAGGGGTTAATTTCCAAAATATATAGAGTACTCATACAACTCAACAAAAGGAAGACAAAGAACCCAATTAAAAAATGTGCAGAGGACCTAAATGGACACTTCTCCAAAGAGGACTTACAAATGGCCAACAGACATATGAAAAAATGCTCAATGTCACTAATCATCAAAGAAATGCAAATTTAAATGACTATGGGGTATTACCTCACCTCACACCTACCAGAATGGCTGCCATCAACAAATTATCAAGCAACAAGTGCTGTCCAGCGCTGTGGCTCAGTGGTTGAGCGTCTACCCATGCACCAAGAGGTCGCAGGTTCGAATCCCAGTCAGGGCACATGCCCAGGTTGCGGGCCAAATTCCCAGTCGGAGTACATGCTGGAGGCGGCCAATCGATGTTCTCTCTCATCAATGTTTCTATCTCTCTCTCCCTCTCTGTTCACCTCTCTCTCTAAAAAATCAATAAAGAAAAAAAAATTAAAAAAAGAAACAACAACAACAAGTACTGGCGAGGACTTAGGGAAAGGGACTCTAGTACACTGGCTGGTGGGAATGCAGACTGGTGCAGCCACTATGGAAAACAATATGGTGTTTCCTCAAAACATTAAAAATTGATCTGCCATTTGACCCAGTGATCCCACCTCTAGGAATATATCCTAAGAAGCCTGAAACACCAATCAGAAGGAACATATATGTACCCCTATGTTCATAGCAACACCATTTACAATTGCTAAGATCTGGAAACAACTCAAGTGTCCATCAATAGATGAGTGGATAAAAAAGCTGTGGTACGTATACACAATGAAACATAATGTAAGAAAGAGAGATCTCTTATCCTTTGAGACGACATGGAGGGACCTAGAGAGTATTATGCTAAGTGAAATAAGCCTATCGGAGAAAGACAAATACCACATGATCTCACTTATTTGTCGAATATAATGAACAAAACAAGCTGATGAACAAAACAGACCCAGAGACAAAGAAGTAGGGTTCAGACTGACAAACCTCAGAGGAGAGGGAAGAAGGAAGAGATAAGCCAAAGAACTTAAATGCATATATACATAACTAATAGACATTAAAAACAATGCTGTGGGGGGGGGGACAGGATCAGGAGGAGGGTGTCAATGGGGGGAAAAGGAGAAACATCTGTAACAAAAATAAATTAATTAATTTTTAAAAGATATGAAACATGTATGTATGAACGAACATGGACAACAAAGGTGGGGTGGGAGGGGGAGGGGAGAATCAGTGGGGGGAAAGAAGAAACATCTGTAACAAAAGTAAATTAATTGATTAAAAAAATAAAAGAAAATTTACAAAAGAAAAAAAAAGATATGCAATAAAATAGTAAAAAAAATAACATAGTACAGAATTATAACTAAAACTATACAATAAATATTCATGAGTCATTAGTGATATTTTTTTAATGACTGAATAAATGGGAGAGAATAAACTCCAATGCAGAATAATTTCAAATAAAATATGTAGATACTCCACCCTGAAAAGGGAAGCATAACTCCTCACTCCTTAAGCGTAGGCTATGCATAGTAACTTCCTTCCAAAGAGTACAGTAAGGAAATGGGGGAAAGAAACATTACAGTGAAGAGACCTGACAATCATTACCCCAGCCACATGAGCAAGATCCATATGAACAGTGATAAGTCATGTTGATAGTATGTACCCATGATATGACAAGAATGAAACCTCTGTGGCCTCCTCCCCCAAAACCAATCACCCTAGTCTAATCATGAAAAAAATCTAACAAACCACAATGATAAACAGTCCACAAAATATATGACCAGCACTTCTATAAAAACATGTCTCCAAGTCGTTAAATGAATTTCTAACTTTATTTATTTTATTAGACCCTTATAAGTATCTGAAGTGGCCCAAATAACTTGGGCTCCTCATGATGTCTGTCTAGGCCCTAGGGTCCTTACTGACCTTGGCTCTGAGCTCCATTTCCGCATCAGACTCGTCCAGCCAGCGATCAAAGTCAGGGGCCAAAAACAGTGGGCGCTTCTCCTGCTTGGTAAGTCTTTCCCACCACTGGTTCACCTTCTTCTGTACAGTAATGTTTACCTGCCTCTGGGTCAGTTTGTAAACTGGCTAAGAGAGAAAATGAAAATGTGAGAATGCTTTCTCCTTCCTACCTCCCCCCTCTCCATCCCCTGAAACTGCCCCAAGCCAGAGTGACTATACAGAGAAACTGCAGGGTAGGCTTATTTCTCCTCCTTCTCTGTTCCTATATGCACGGATCCGAACAGAACATCTAGACCAAGGGCCAGTATAGGGAAGATCTGGTAAGAACAGCACTGTTTTTCTGATTCTCCCAATGCATGACACATGTACCTAGAAGTCACCAGTTTGATCCCCGGTCAGGGCACATGCCCAGGTTGTGGGCCCGATCCCCAGTGGGAGTGTGCAGGAGGTGGCCAATTGATGTTCTCGCTCATCGATGTTTCTCTCTCTCTCCTTATCCCTTCCCCTCTCTAAAATCAATAAAAGAAAAAATTTTTTTACAAAGTCAGCAAGTTCCTGGTGATCCTAGAAGAAACTAGATGAACCTCCTGCCAGATCTACATCATGCAAGGCACCACCTTCAATCACTTTCTCAAGTGCATCCTCACCTTCCAAATTTTCCTCCCATGAAGATGATCAAATTCAAATAATTGACGGTCCCTAGTATAGAGAGTCCTTTTTTTAGAAAGCTCTAATCAAGGCCAGAACTCACTGGATCAGATACAACTTTTTCACAAGGTCAGCCTAGGTAGTCTTCCCAACTAAACTCAAATTCTTAGAGGCTGTTCCAGTTCATTATTCTTCTACATGGCCTCTCCCTTTGCCTCCATCACAAGACCCATAACAATATCTCCACCCTCTTAAACCACTGCTGACTATTAAAACAACCAAAACAGCCTGGCTGATGTGGCTCAATGGTTGAGCATCAACACATGCACCAAAAAGTTGCCAGTTCAATTCCCAGTCAGGGCACATGCCCAGGTTGTGGGCCCAATCCTCAGTGGGGGGCATGCAGGAGGCAGCCAATCAATATTTTCTCTCATCGATGTTTCTACCTCTCTGCCTCTCCCTTCCTCTCTAAAATCAATAAAGAAAAAATATATTTTAAATATTACTCATTCATAAAAATAAATTTTTTAAAAAACACACAATTACAACCTCCTGCAGACAGAGAGCAATATGCTCAAGCCCCCAGAGATAAGAGTGTAATTCCAGAAACTGAAATACACCATGTGTTGGGGTTTCTCCCTTCCTGTTACAGAAGCTTCCTCAAACTCTGAGAGAAGGGAAACTTCAATATATATCATGCATTCTTTCTAAAGATCAACTGTCTCATCCTTTTCTGATTTCTACTGCCCTCTAGCAAAGTCGCACGAAAGCAGTGCCCTGGCATGGGCTTCACCTGCCCTCTGTGACTCTGCTCTCTATAGGTACAATACCCTCCTCTGTCATCACTAAGAAGAAAAAAAGAAACAAACAAACAAAAAAAAACAGAATTCAGAGCTAAACACGAGATTGGTAAAGAGATCACTTATCCAATCCTTCATTTAACATATAAGGAAACCAGGACTCAAAAAAATGAAAGGACTTGTTCAAACTGTTAATAAGTGACAGGGCCCCAAATCACCTCAGGTTCTCCGACTTCCACATTCCTCTGCAGCTAAAACCTGTTCCAAATAAAAGAACTAAATTCTCCTTTGGTTTTTACCTTCTTTCCCACAAACCCTGCTCCCCATTTCACTAAACTAGTATTTATTTCCTAAAATAGAAAGGGAAGTGAGAAAGGAAAGAACATACCTCTGGCTTCACAAGGTCCAAGAACTCCAAATGAAATTCATAGACATTGTCTCCTTTGGCACCATGGCCTTGAGCTATAAAGAAAGAAATGTGGGTTATTGTGAACCTGAGCAGAGAAAGGCCATCCAAAGGCTTATGCAGTTCTTTCAGAAGTATACAAATATCAACGGGTCCTGCCAAAATGAGTGGGGGCTTGTGAGAACTAATCAACAGCTAGGTAAGTTAAATCCTGGACAAAAGTTTATCTCCATGTATCCTTCTGATGGTCAGTTCCAGAGTAGTTATTTAATCTTCCAACATGGCCCTGATGATGCCCAGTATAAATAATAGGCAGGAAAACGATTACAGAAAGCAAAGCCAAAGGTATCACATAGATATAAATTTAATTTTCACATGTACTTTGGCACTGAATCCAGAGCAGAGAAAAATCAGGTTAAGGAAAGTTGCAAGAGTACAAGGAAATGCTGGATTGTCTCAAAGAAAACTCTGAACCTAACACTGTTCAACCAGGGATAGAAAATGGAAATGTTGACTCCTCCTGTAGCACATCCCAAATGGAACAAAAAAGAGAAAAATGATTTTTTCAGCTCAGTCCTAAGAGAGGACATAAGGCCCTAGGAGGAAAGTGCCAGGGTTGACCACTATGCCACTCTGTGCCTTGACATGGCTCCTGTCCCCTCATCAAGCCAGGCCTCGGTGCCAGTGAGCCCTTGCCCTCTAACTCTCAGTCGTCTCTCAGTTCGGCTCTATTTCCTCATCTGGTCATATGTAGCATAACTTTCCTAATATTTGCCACAGGTAGCTACTGTTCCCTAAGACCACACATTCCTTAAGACAGGGCAGTCTATAAGCTCCAAGTGGCAAGATATACTTTTATCACTTTAGTTTCTATTCAAATGTACAGCTCCTAAAAAAAATCTGAGCTGTTCTCACCTTGAAAAGTAGATATAAAAGTCAGGCTGTGATTTCATGCAAGTATATTAAGGCAGATGGAATCTCATGTAAAATAGAAACTCTTCAATGTCCCATAACCCTAGTCACTTACTAGTGACATTCTGAGGAACTAGAACAGAAAGAGATTAGGGAAAATTCCACCCCATTGGGTGACAATAAATCCAGACCTACCCTCTGTGCCACAACAGCAAGTGTGCTGATGAACTAAGGAGAAAGGAGATGGGGGCAGAGTCACAGAATCAAAGACTGTCATGAGCTGGAAAAGCTTTAGGTATCACCTAAAGTGTTTCTTAAACTGGTCTATAAGTGTAATATCAGGGAACCCACACAACCTCAATAAGACAATTTCTATTTTTTGGTTTCATTATAATTTTTTTAAAGCATCTAGATGGCTACCTTATAGGCTAGCACTACCACACAAGTTCAGTGGCTGTGTCTGCATCTGTGTTTACAGCTACAACGGAGCCACACATCACTTAAAGTGACTATACTTAACTCTTAATATGTTTCTCAATCTGGGTCTATGGCCCTGGAGGATGCTAAGGACATATTCTCAGATGTCTGTGGACCCTCAAATTTGAGAAACACAATTTATAACCCAATACCCTATTTTATAGATCCAGAGAAGTCAATAAGTTGCCCGAGGTAGCAATAGAATTAATCTCCCAATTCTAGCCCAGGATTCTTTTGTGCTATATCTACTGCCTCTTCAAGGGGAAAGCAGGATTCTAAATAACTTCTTTGACTTTCTTAATCATGTACTTCAAAACAATCTAGCTTACCTCAAGAGTGTCAGAGAGGTGAGCATAAATAGAAAGTGAAGAAAACAAATAGATAAAAATAAAAAGAAACCACCACTACACCTCTAACTGCGTAGAGAGCTGGGAGCATTTGCCCGAATACTGACCTTTGAAATGCAGTACATTTTCAGTGATGCTGATGGCAGGATTCTGTGAAAAGAGACCAAGGATTCGAGAAGGGCATTTTAATGAGAAAAATGGAATTAAAACCATCCTTCCCCCTTGGGGGTTCAATCTCCTACCCTGTGCCTCCCCCAAAGAATATATTTAGTCGTTTATTCACATCTGTGTAGGGTTTCTGTACGTCTATCTGCACCCATCTGAGATTGTAGGCTCCTGCGAGAAGGATCCTAAAGTGCTCTAACTGTGCAGAACAATCAGGTACTGAGCCAGTCCATTCTGATAACTGCAAATAGTGCAAGGTGCTATGTGAGGTGTTATAGAGAAATACACAGTTCTCTAAGACTCAGTCTCTGAGCTGTGGAGGCAGAGAATCTAGTGGAACAGATGAGTCATTTCCTATGAGCAGATATCAAATAGTATCAAATAACATAAGCACAAGATCAAAAAGAGTAGTAAAAAGCACTAAGTGTACAGTTAAGTCAGCAAGTACAATGGGAACAGAATGGCTAGGGAAAACTTCACCAAATGTTAGGCCTGTGTTGCAATAAGAGGAATAAATTCATTCCAATAGGTAGAGGGAAGGGCTGAGGATTAAGAGTAGTTGGATGAAAACAAAATATTCAGGGCATTCATCTGAGGCTCACATTCTCTTAACCTCTTCCAAACAAAAACTAGATGAGATTGAAATTCTCCAAATTGTTCTTTTGTTCCCAGAATTTGCTACATGTCTTTAGCAGCATAATTTAAAATGAAACTTCTTAACTCTTTTCCCAGTAGTTGAAAAACAACTCACCTTCTACCTCCCAGCTCAAAGTTAATAAGCAAGAAGCACCATGTTTCCAGTGCCATAACTAGTTTATTTTTCTCCTGTAGGCTGTGTTCTATCATGCCATCAAAGGAAACCAACAAGACAGAAGAAGGTTGGAGAGGGGATATACTAATAGGCAGTGAGAGCCTAGATACTCTATTCATAGCCAACAGTGTTAGGAAAAGGGCAATAATGAAGGCTTGTGGGGGAGCATTTGAGCCAAGTTTTAGTTAAGAACCTCCCCAGTGGAAGTATAGACTTCAGGCTGAGAAGCTCAACCAAAGAGGATAACAATCAAGATAATCTCTGTGGCAGAAAGAAGGAGTTGGGAAACCTAATTTTAAAAGGCTACACTTCCAGGGGCATGGTTCCTCAGCAAAAGAAAATAGGATTTTGATGTAAATATCATGAAAGCTAGAGTTCTCAGACTTCTTGGAAGTTTCCTATCTACATCACTTCTTGCCCAACTCTGTTCCCCATACCCTAATTCACACGCAAGGAAAAATGGAGGTTTGGGGCCCAGTTTATTCTTCTCAGACAGATAGATGTGTGTAACCAAGGTCTACATAGCTAGCCACAGCACAAGTCCAGGAATTCATTAAGCATTTCTATGAACCAGATTTCAGATGCTAACTCAGCAATAATGGGCCAGCTCCTCCTACCCAGCAGTGCACCAGGCATTTCAGGTTCAGCTTCTCCAAAGGTGTTGGCAGTGGAGGAATATTTCTGTTACAAATGCTTATGCCAGACACAAGTTCAAAACTGGAAGAGAACCTGAAACAATAAAAAAATTAGCATCTATATTTATAAATGAGATTGGCCTAGAATTTCCCTTTCTAATCTCTGCCTCATAAAAATGAGCTGAAGAGGCTGATTCTGAAGACTCTGTCACAGGGGTGTTGGGAATCAGACGTGGGCCAGCAAATAAACGGCTCTTATTTAGAAAAAAAAAAAAAAAATGAACTGAAGAGTGTTACCTCTCCCTCTCTCTGGAAACATAAGTACAAGTCTGATGTAGTAGCCAGCCTTCAAGACTGGCCCCCAGTGAGCCTTTCCCCAATGTTGACACTCTGTGTAGTCCCCTCCTAACTGATGTCAGGTGTGATCTAAGTAACCAACAGAACAGAGTGGAAACAACAATGTGACTTCTGAGGTTAAGTCATAAAAGCCACTGCAGCTTCCATCTAGGCCTCTTGGACTGTTGACTCTGGGCAAAGACAGATACCATGTCATGAGAATACTCAAGCAGTCCTGTGTAGAGGCCAACATGGAAAACTAACTTGTGGACAACAATCTGCCAACAAGGTGAGTGAGACATCCTTGAAGTGAATACCCTGGGTTATCATACAACTCACATCTGACTACAATCTCATGAAGAGATCCCAAGCCACAACAACCCTAGTCCTTCCTGAAGGACCCATAGAAACAGAGAGATGATAAAGTGTTATTTTAAACTACTACATTTTCGGGTGATTTGTTATGCAGCAATAGATAACTAATAAAATTATAATTACTTCTGTAAATGTTTGATAGAACTCAATGGTTAAGCCACTCAAACCCAGAAATCTCCTTGTGGGAAGATTTCTGACTACTGATTTATTTAATGGTTATTGTGCAATTTAGGTTTTCTATCCCTTTGAGAGAAACCATCTTTACTTTCTAAGAATTTATCCATTTTGTCTGACATCAATTCAATATCCTCTTTGCTTTTTAATGTCTGTAACTCCTATGGTTAAGGCTTTTCCATTACTGATATGGTTTATGTCTTAATCTTATCAAGAGATCTGTGCATTCTAATAGTCTTTTCAAGATTTAACTTTTAGCTTTATTGATTCTCTCCATCTCTGCTTTCTATTTCTGCTCTTTATTTCTTTCCTTCCTTCAACTTTAAGAGAATTTGCTTTTTTTTCTTTTTAACATTTTTTTCTTTATTGATTTTAGAGAGGAAAGGAGAGGGACAGAGAGACAGAAATATCAATGAGAGAGAACATTAACTGGCCGCCTCCTGCATGCCCCTCACTGGAGATCGGGCCCACAACCTGGGCATGTGCCCTGACCGGGAATCGAGCCGGCAACCTCTTGATACATGGGTCAACAACCACTGAGCCACACCAGCAGGGCAAGAATTTGGTATATTTTTTCTATCTTCTTGAAATGGACTCAGAGATCATTAATTTTCAGACTTCATTCTTTTATTTTAATTAATATTTTAAATATAAGTATTTAAAAATATAAATGTCCTACCAACTTCTCCTTTGGTTACAACTCTGAAGCTCTGAATATAGTATTTTCATTATCATTCACTCTAAAATATTTCCTAATTTCCATTATAGTACATTTTCATCTTGAAATATGGGTTATGGAGAAGTGTTTCTTAATTGCCAAACACGTGAGATTTTAGTTACATTATTATTTTCTACCTCAATTACACTGTGATCAGAGAACATTCTCTGAATAGTTTTAATTCTTTCAAATTTGTAGGGACTTGCTTGAGAAAGCATCATATAGTCAAATTTTGTAAATGGTCGAATAAACTTGAAAAGATTGCATATTCTGGAATTATTAGATGCAGTATTCTACATATATCCATTAGGTTTACTATTATTTATTTGTTCACATAATCTATGTTTATGGAATTTTGTCTTCTTATTCTATTAATTAATTACTAGGAAAAAAAATCACACTATTTTAAATTTATCTATTTCTCCTTGTACCTCTGTTAATTTCCTATTATAGAGGACATGTTACCAGTTATATATTAAGTTTAATGTTGCTATATTTTCCTGGTGACTTGAAACCTCTATCATTATGAACTGACCGTTTCATCTCTAAAAGTACATTTTACTGCCCTGGCCAGTTTGGCTCAGCAGTTAAAGCATCGGCCCGCAGATCAGAGAGTCCCGGGTTCAGTTCCCGCTAAGGGCACATACCTTGGCTTCAGTTTGTCCCCGGCCCCAGTTGGGGTCGTGTGGGTGGCAACCAGTCGATGTGTCTCTCTCACATCGATGTTTATCTCTCTCTCTGCCTCCCTCTCTCCCTCTCGCTCTATCTGAAGATAAATGCAAAAAATGTCCTCGGGTGAGGATAAAAAAAAAAAATTAAAAATAAACAAATAAATAAAAGTACATTTTACATAAAACTCTTTAGCAGATATAGCTACACCATAGCTACACCACAAGGATCTACACCTGCTTCTGCCAAGCACCTAGGGTAAAGCCCTATCAGTTTGGTTCACTTTAGCCCAGCATGGGTGACTGAGCATCGACGCATGCACCAAGAGGTTGCCAGTTTGATTCCCTGTCAGGGCACATGTCCAGGTTGTGGGCCAAATCCCCAGTGGGGGCCATGCAGGAGGCACTTTAAACTAAATTTATGGTTTGAGAGTTTTTGAATCTCCAAAATTGTATAAATTTGTGCTGTGTAATCTTTTGAGTCAACTAACAGTTTTAAGTCCTCAAGGACCTTTTTCTTCTACTTTGTTCAGTGCCAAGGCATGTGGGGACAGGAAGGTGCGGTGGGTTTACCTCTAGTTCATCCTTCCTGTACAAGTGTGTGGTCCACTGAAGCACAGTTAACGGGGAGAAGGGTTTCCTATTACATATTGCATCTCTGGTGGGATTTGATCTTACTTCTGTCCCCTGCACTGTCAGGCTGTCAAAACCAAAGTTCAAGTTCATGCAATTGAGTAAATGTTCTCAAGGCAAAAGCAATTTCAGAGTTCAACTTACCTCTTTGAGTTCCCACTTTATTTTCTAACTTATTGAATCCTTGATGATTTTAAGATTTATATTGGAACACTTTTAGTTGTTTTTAGCAGAAAAGATGGTCTGCACAACTTAGCCCATTTTTTACTAGAGATGGAATTGTGCCTTTGCTTATAAAAAGAGGAATGAATAAGAAAAAGGGTAAAAGGTGGCTTTGAAGTCAAATGGACGTGGATACAAAATCCTAGTCATATCATATTTATTTCTATCATTCACTTTCAAATCCATCGTAACTCATTATTTAAAAAAACACACACACAATAAAACCCCTTATTTCACAAGATTGTTGTGAGAACTATAATAATACACAGAGTCTGGCATCTAGTAAGCATTCATATTAGGGTTGCTTTTCTTCCTCTGACTAGAATGCTCTTCTAAGTTTCCAAATCTATTCATCTGTCAAAGTCCAGGTCAAATGTGAATTCCTTTTCCCACCTACTCACTTCCAACATCAA